TATGTGCAAGAGGGGGCTCTAAAAGCAGATACCTACACTTCATCCTGGATGACGGGGTGAGAGTACAAATGTTTTTAATTTCTCTCTTTCTGAAAGTCACCTTGGAGTTGGTGCTGACTCATTGTGATCCCACAGGCCAGGGTAAGCGGTCCCTGCAGGGTTTCTGACACTGCTGCTCTTCACGGGGGCAGACAGCCCCGCCTTTCTTCCACAGAGCAGTTGGTAGTTTTGAACTGCTGACCTGGCAGTTAGCAGCCCCAAATGTAACCCCTGCACCACCAAGGCTCTAGTAGGCCAAATACGTTTGGGAACCTGTGGTCTAGTTGTACATCTGTTATGTAGCCTGATGCTGGGGCCAAGAGATGGGTTTGGCTTCCACAAGTCACATGATTACTATCGAGCACCTCTTGTTGGGATTATTGCCGATGCCCTCACCTGGTCTGGAGGGAGCCTGGCGGCACAGCGGTTACTACGTTAGGCTTCTCACCTCAACGTCAGCAGTTCGAAGCCACCAGCTGCTCCAGGGGACAAAGATGAGGCTTTCTACTCCCGTGGAGATTTACAGGCTGGGAAACCCACAGGGGACAGTAACACTCTGTCCTAAGGGCTGGCTATGGATCAGAATCACTCTGTGGCGGTGAGAATGTTCCGGGGTCCTGGTGGCGTATGGTTTACGTGTTGGGCTGCTAACTAGCACTAGCTCCCCTGAGGAAGAAAGATGGGGTGCTCTAGTCCCATCCTGCGTTCCAGCCTCAGGGACCCAGAGGGGCCGTGGAGTCGGAATGGCTGGGCGTTTGGGTCTCACTGGGCTCACTTGTTTACGTCTGCTTCCCGGAGCCGGCACGCTCAGCTCAGCAAGCAGACGGCTCTGTCCAGCACACAAGCAGATCAGAAAGACTAGGAGGGATTGTGCGGAAGGATCCCTGCTAACCCAAGACGGGAAGTTTGAACCCACCAGGGGCTGCAAGCCAGAGAGGTGTGGCCGTCTGTCTCCTGAAAGATGATACGCAGCGCTGGAAACCCGATGGGGCAAATCTACTCTGTCCTGCCTGCTGATGACTAGCCAGAATCGGTTTGATGGCAGGGGACTTAAAAATAAGTAACTGATTGTGTGTCCTCCCCGTGACTCCCCATCAAGATATATGTTAGAATCTCAGTGCATAACCGTCCAGTTTGCTGGTGCTGGAGCCCAGTGTGGGCGTTCTGCACGGAGCTGCTTGGTGGCAGAGGGACGGTGTTGGGACGCTGGCCGCAAGGTCAGCAGTTCGAAACCACCAGCCGCTCTGCTGGAGATAGACGAGGATTTCTACTCCTGGGAAGAGCTACCGTCTTGGACACCCACCGGGGCAGTTGTACCCTGGCCTAAAGGGTGGCTGTGGGGGGGCATCCTTGGAGGGCAGGGATTTGGGTTTGTGAGGGGGGCGGAGCTACCTGAGCCTCCAGGTATTGCTCCATGGGGTGCAGTTCACAGCCTGACTCACCAGGGGGAGCGCGGGAGCAGGATTCCCCTCAGCAAGCGCGCCACCTGCCGGCCCGGGGCCTCTCTGCGCCTCTGTGTCCATCCATCCTTGGCCATGCTAGTGGTCCAGGACAATGCCCCAGAGAGGGGGCAGCGGTCAGCAGCTGGAGTAGGCGAAGGGGTCTGACAGGCACCCTCTGCTAGTCTCTATCGGTGGGAGACACTAGGACCCCAGGAACTTGGGTGACATTGCCTATTGCCTTGTTTTAATGGTTTGACCAGGGCCCTCTGGGAGTGGCCTGGGTGTAAGACTACTCAACTGCCCTCCTCAGTGCCAGCAGGAGCTAAAGGAGGCCCCTGGGCAGAACCATGTCACTCAGTACTCCCCTCCCCATCCATGTTGGGACCCAGCTCACTGTTCCCTCTGTGTGTCCAGCTCAAGGTACCCACACCGCACTGACTCTCCTCTCTGATCCTTTCCCCCATTTTCAAACTCCCCAAACCCTCCCCTGAGCCCTCAGTGTCCTGGCTGGTCCGAATCCTACACCTCTTTTCTCTGCATGTCCCCTTGACTTTGCTCCAACTGGACGCCACATACCTCCGCCCTTGGTAGAGGGCCTGACTCACAGTGGAGCTGTGGTGCTTTCCACCCACCCCATGCCCGAGGGATGGGGCAGAGCTGACCCTAGGTGCCATCCCCATGCCCAGCTGGGCACTGGGCAGTGTTCTGTGGATCGTGCCACATGGCTGATTTCAGAGGTAGCTTCTAGACTAGACCTTCCTTCCTAGTCTCAGCCTAGAAGCGTCCTTGAACCCTCATCACCAACAGCAACTCAACTCCCTGCCATCGAGTTGACGCCGACTCATAGTGACCCTCTAGGGCAGTTTCTGAGACCGGAACTGTTCACAGGGGTGAAAAGCCAAGTCTTTCTTCTGAGGAGTGGCTGGTGGTTTCAAACTGCCCACCCTGAGTTTCACAGCCGGGTGTGTAACCGCGACACCACCAGGGCTCCACAGAGAGACAGGCAGGGTTTGTGTAAGAGGGGCCTTGGTCAGAACGGAACCCGCATCTCTGCATGTCATTGCTGTCAGGGGGCACCGAGCCGGTTCTGACCCAGAGCGACCCCATGCACGACAGGACGAAGCACTGCCCGGCCCCACGCCGGCACTGCAGTGGTTCCTCTGCCCAAGGCTGTGGTGCCAGTCGCTGTGCCAGTCCATCTCCTTAAGAGCCTTCTTTTTCTCCCCTCCACTTCACCAAGCACGATGTCCTTCTCCAAGAGGCCTAAACTCTACCCGTGACCCACCACGGTCCCTCTGTACCCCCTCACACCTCTGCGACCTCAGCACCCAGGCGGGCGGTCCATATCCTAGTCCTTCTCACAGTAAACGCCATGTCTTCATGGCAATAGGCCCACATGATCCCTGACCCATCACCACCCATGTCTGATGCTTCCACCACCACTGGGTCCACAAGACTTCCCACCCACTGGCCTGTGAGCTTCCTGCACTCGGCGTCATTGCATGCGTTTCATGAGTCTGGAGGACTTTATTGACTGGTATTGGACATATGAGCTAATATTGGACTTACGGACTTGATCTGGATGGGGCTGGGATGTTTTCTTAATGTACAATGACTCTATATAAAGCTCTTTCTTATACACATAGAAGTGGCCATGAATTTGTTTCTCTAGTCTACCCGGACTCACACAAACCAACAACGGGACCTCTTTCCAGGGTCTTTTGAGACCCAGGCATTTCACACAAGAGGGTTTCAAAAAGATGGTGGGAATTCCGTAGTCATCCCATTCCCTTCTCCCTTGAATAGAGTGACTGATGGACGGTGCCCTGGCGGGTTCTCTGCCTGCTGTCTTTCTTCCGAAATCCTTTCCTACTTCATGGTCATGAGGGTGTCCTCTGCATCCTTCTAACAGCTTCACAGTCTTGTTGTTCATGTCGCCATCGTCGTCACGTGTCGTGGAGTTGGCTCAGACTCCCGGCAACCCAGTGCACGACAGAGCAACACGTCGTCCGTTCTGGTGCCAGCCTCACCATCATTCTTACGTTGGAACCCATCGTCGTCGGTGCTGGCCCGCTTCTTCTGCGGCCGAGTCCTGCGCCTGCAGCAAAGGAGGGTCCCAA